CCTAACTGATCTGTTTGGGTGCACTCTGACCCTTCTCCATCTGGTTCTCCTACAAGGCAGCCACAACCATTGTGGCACTTTATTTAAAATTCCACCGTTTCCAAACTCCTATTTAACAGAACTCCCACAATTTGGTCCCTGCCTACTTCTCTAACCTTGCTCTTCACTGCAACATTCTATGATCTAGCCACATGAATAAAAGACTGCTAATTATAACCCAATATCTGTTTTCTTCTGCAATAATTAAATCCTGAGTTTTAGCTGAATATATGGCCATGAAATAAGGATCTTTCCCAGCCTCCCTTGCAGCTATGTGACTAGATTTGGGCCAATGGGATATAACCCATGCCCTTGAGAGAGGAGGCGTGGCCCTTTCCTTCCCTTTTCCCTTTCCTGCTTGTTGGAATGTGGAAAGTAACTCTAAAGTTGTCATCTGGATCACTACATAGAAAGTGCCTGTGGAGGATGACAGCACAAGATGGACAGAGCGAGGTCCCTAACTGTGAAACTGCCATATCAACCCTGGACTGCTTACCTGGACTTTTACATAAGAAGCTCCTTTATTGTTTAAACCACTGTTGCACTGGATTTTTCTGCCCCTTGAAGCAGTTTTATCTAATCCTAATATATCAAACAATTCTTCCAGATTCTCTATTCTCTGGACTCATGCATGTGATTCCCTCTGCCTGAAACACTACTAACACCTTCTGCTCCTTGTCTGCTTTCATCCTTCAAATCTGAGCTGAAATGTTACTCTCTCAGGTATGTCCTCCTTGACTCCCTACATGAGGCTTAATAGTCTTGCTATTTTTTTCCTTACACCTTCCCTTAGATAATACCATGCCTATAATTGCTGGGTTAATGTCAATCTCTTTCAGTATTACATACTCTTTAAGAGCAAATATCTGCTTTGTTCACTGTCATTCAAGTGTTTGGAACTCAGTATATGTCCAACAAATATTAGTTCAAAGAACAATAATGTCATAGCCCTTGCATGATTTCTGGGCCACATCTCGAGTACATCTTGGCCTTACATTACAGGACTCCTGTAAACTTCACCTGTAGCTCTATTCCTTTCAGACACTCTGACAATGTAAATACTGTTTCTCTACATTCTCTTTTAGACAATTCTAAAATGTGCCAACTCCTTCAACAGATTCGCACAGCTCTTTCTTACATGGCTTCATTTTCTCACAATATATGTAGGACTAGTGTGGAAAGTATTATGGGTATTCTTGGAATTCTTTAAAAAAATGGAACAGCAATCTTGAGAAAGAAGAACAAAGTTGAAGGTATCATGCTACCTGATGTCAAACTATACTACAAGGCCATTGTAATCAAAACAGCCTGGTACTGGCATAGAAACAGACCCATAGAGCAACGGAACAGAATAGAGGGCCCAAAAGTAAACCCATGCCTTTATGGTCAATTAATATTTGACAAAGGAGGCAAGAACACAGAATGAGTAAAGACAATCTATTCAAAAAATGGCGTTGAGAGAATTGGACAGAAACATGCAAAAAATGAAACTAGACCACCTTCTTACACCACATACAAGAATAAACTCAAAATGGATTAAAGAGTTAAATATAAGGCTCAAACCCATAAAACTCCTAGAAGAAAACATAGGGAACAAAATTTGACATTTCTCTTACCAATATTTTTTCTAATGTATTTCCTCAGACAAGTGAAATAAAAGAAAAAAATAAATAAATGGGACTACATCAAACTAAAAAGTTTTTGCACAGCAAAGGAAATGAGCAACAAAACAAAAAGACAACCTACTGAATGGGAGAAGATATTCAACAATGATACATCCACTAAGGGATTAATATCCAAAATTTATAAAGAACTCATACAACTCAACACCAAGAAAACAAACAACCCCATTAAAAAATAGGCAGGAGACCTAAACAGATGCTTCTCCAAAGAGGACATACAGATGGCCAATAGACATATGAAAAGATACTCAGTGTCACTAATTATCAGAGAAACCACAATGAGGTATCACCTCAGAATGGCTATCATCAATATATCAACCAATAGCAAGTGTTAGCAAGGGTGTGGAGAAAAGGGAACCCTTGTGCACTATTGGTGGGAATGCAGACTGGTGCAGCCACTATAGAAAACAATATGGAGTTTCCTCAAAAAATTAAAAATGAAATTGCCTTATGATCCAGCAATTGCACTTTTGGGTATATATCCGAAGAAACCCAAAACACTAATTTGAAAGAATATATGCCCCCCTGTGTTCACTGCAGCGTTATTTACAATAGCCAAGATCTGGAAACAGCCCAAGTGCCCATAAACAGACTAGTAGAGAAAAAAGCTGTGGTACACATACACAATGAAATATTACTTGACCATAAAAAAAAAGAATGAAATTTTACCATTTGCAAAAGCATGGATGGACCTGGACGATATTGTGCTAAGTGAAACAAGTCAGTCAGAGAAACACAAACACCACATGATATCACTTATATGTAAAATCTAAAGAACAGAATAAATGAATAAAACTGAAATACACTCATATAGAGAACAGACGGATGGTTGCCAGAGGGAAGGGGGTCTGGGGGACTAGGTAAAAAAAGTGAAAGGATTAAGAAGTACAAATTGGTAGTTACTGAATAGTCACGGCTATGTAAGGTACAGCATAGGTAATACAGTCAGTAACAATGTAATAACTATGTATGGTGCCAGGAAAGTACTTGAAGTATCAGGGACAACACTTTGTAAAGTATATGACTGTCTAACCACTATGCTGTACACCTGAAACTAATACAAAATAATATTGAATGTAACCTGTAATTGAAAAATTAAAAAAAAAGGAAACCCTTCACTAACTAATATGACCAACATTTTCAGGTCTTTTTAAATGGGAAATATAAGAAACATACAAACCACATTATCTGAATTCTGGCCATGTACAGGAAAACATCCTTAAAATATTTTACAAGCCTCTGGTTTTAAAGTGTACATCAGTTTTTATGGCATTATAAGTAACTGTCAGTTTACTGCTTTATGTACTCACCCTTCATTGATGAGTCTACATGGCTTACTCATTTTTGAAAATTAAGCACCTTTTTGTTATAACATTGTGGAGTTAAAGAAAGAGGGTCCAAGAAGGAGGCAGTGGAGACAAGACAAACAAAAATCAAGAGAGATGAGTGACAGTCTGTTTTGCCAATGATTTACTGGGTGACCCTGGATCAGTTCTCTTTTAGTAACAACTCAAGTGCTCTTAACTCTAAAATGAAGTGTTCAATACAGATAATTCCTTAGGTCCTTTCCAAGGAAAATATTTTGTTGCCATATCGACTTGCTGTTAATGATTTAATAGAGATGATGTGGGTAATTATGCCCCAAACTGTTTAACTACAAGTATTCACATGAAACCTGGTATTTGCCTATAAGTTTCAGGTTCTATGGTGGTTGAAATTAGTCTAAAATACAGTCCTTCAAAAATCTAAAAACAAATGTGTATTCGGAAATGCTAGTTTCTGCCTGAGGAGAATGGCTTTTAGACTACGTTTTTCCAGTATCTACTATTCTCCCACATTTGTTAGGCGCCCACACCGGATTCAGAAGGTGCTCTGTCTGTAAAACCTCACTGGCCAGGGAAACGGAATGGTTTTCACCGGCACTCCCTTGATCACCACACTACACCTCCTTCCCCTTCAACTGTTCTGGAGCCTGATAAGAAAGCTCCAGAGAGCAGTGGATCCAGCGTCCCGCAACCGCACGAATGTCTGTACTACAACAAAATGCAGACATCTGGCCTTGCTCGGTTCTTCAGGGCAAGGATGGCATAATCTAGGCTCTCCACATTTCTAATAAACGTTAAAGAAATCTGTAGCCGTCCCCAGTCGAGAACAGGCTGGAAGCACCCCATTAAGTCCCGGCACCCCCCTGCTTCCATTCTCGGACCCTGCGGGTTCTGCGTGGTCTCTCCAAAGCCACCGCCCCCACCTCTTCACGTCCTCGGGGCCGAGCGCCCCGCCCCGCGCCCCGCGGTCCCCGGCCAGCCCTAACCTCCTCGAACTGCTCGCCCGAGCAGCCGGCGCCTCGAGCCTCCAGCAGTTCCCGGAACTGCTCCAGGGTGACGGACTCCTCGCCGCGGCCCAGCCGCTCTTCCAGCCAGCGCAGCAGCGCGCCGTGGTGCCTGGACACCAGAGACTCGCAGGGCGGCGAGGGCCGCAGCGCAGCCGCTGCCTCCCGCAGCCGGGCCGGCTCCA